GTGCTGGACTCCCACAAGGCTGACCACAGTTCTAATGCTGGACCTGGTGACTTGCTTTCTCATTTTCCCCCTCTCTCTGACTCTCTGGTCAGACTGAATAACAACAACAACAATAATAATAATAGTAGGGACCAGCAGTTGGCATAATGGCTATGTCGCTAAACTCCCATGTAGTCGACCGCGGTTTGCATTCCCAGACGTGGTGGTTTAAACTTTGGCCGCGTGTGCACGCGTGCCCAAGATCCCAAGAGGAGAATGGAAGATTGCGATGTGGCCATCCTCCCAGGGGATGATTTCTTGCTTTCTGTTTCTCTGTCTGTCTCTGACTTTCTGGCAAGTGTACGTGCCCTATAGCAAAAACCTCTCAAAAAAAATTTCTTTAATAATAGAATTAAATGAATTTTAAGAATGATTTTATTTAACTTTATTTATTATTATTTTCGTATGATCAGAGAGAGACAGAGAAAGAGAGAGAGGGAAAGTGAGAAAGCAATCCGCCAGATATGGGACCCAAACTGCAGTCGGCCATGTGGGAGTCCAGCGCCCCCAACTACCATGCCACCTGCCAGTCCCTTGAGTAAATAATTCTTAAAAAGACTTAAAAAAAATTGGGGGACAGCAGTTAGCGTAATGGCTATGTCTCTGGACTCCCACGTAGTCGACCGCGGTTCGCGCCCCAGACCTAGTGGCTTAAAACTCACACCAGGCGCGTGTGCGTGTGTGCCCAAGATCCCGAGAGGAGAACGGAGGAGAAGGGATTGCGGCGTGACCATCCCCCTGGGGGCGTGATTTCTCGCTTTCTGTCTCTATGTCTCTCTGTCTGGCGAGCACACGTGCCCTATAGCGAAAATCTCTCCAAAAAAAAAAAAGACTTAAAAAAATCACATAGGGTGAAAAAGTTACATAAATACATTTTTATGCTGTCTTTTGTATTATGAAATTACCTTTATTGGTGGTCTTTATTATTTCTTTGTATAGATTGAATTGAGGACGTTTTTAAGTCTTTCCTGAGTGTGGCATAGTCCTAGACATGCAAATAGTCTTCTAAATTTTCAGGAAAGTGTTGGAATTTTTCAAAGCTTCCAAGATCATCTTATTCCCTAGCCTTTTATTTAATGCTTTTGGGTTAGCCTATGAGGGGACTTCAAACAGCTTATGAGAAAAATGGAATTAAAACATGAGTTTATTTTGGTACAAAAGTTTTTGTAATCCATACAAAGTTCTTCCATAATAAGCATTTTTTTTATTTTGAGAGGTTTTTGCTATAGGGCGCGTGCACTCGCCAGAAAGACAGAGAGAGACAGAGAGACAGAAAGTGAGAAATCACCCCCCGGGGGGATGGCCACGCCGCAATCCCTTCTCCTTCATTCTCCTCTCAGGATCTTGGGCATGCATGCACACGTGCCCGGCATGAGTTTAAGCCACTGGGTCCGGGATGTGAACCGCAGTTGGCTATAGGGGAGTCTAGCAACATAGCCATTATGCTAACTGCTGGTCCCAAGCTTTTTTTTTTTTTTTTTTGAGAGATTTTTGTTATAGGGTGCACGTGCTGGCTGAACAGACAGAATAACAGAAAGCAAAAAACCACTCCCCAGTGGGGATGTCACACCGCAATCCTCCCTCCTCCATTCTCCTCTCAGGATTTTGGACACATGTGGTACACGTGCCCAGCATGAATTTTAAGTCACTGGGTCTGGGACTTGAATTGCAGAAGATTAAGTGGGAGTCCAGCGATGTAACCATTATGCCATCTGCTGGTCCCCATAATAAGCATTTTCTAAGTTGCCAGGTCCAGGACCCAAACCATGGTCCAACCATATGGGAGTCCAGCATCCCAACCTGCTGGCTCCTCTGTGAACTTTTTAAAGACCTCCTGGTATTGTTCACCACAACTGATACTCATCTTAGGCAGCCAAAACAAGTGTCCATAATGGTTTTAAACGCACTCCTGGGGAAATGTTTTTCTGCATTAGTGAACCCTGTTCTTTTTTTTTGGAGAGGTTTTTGCTATAGGGTGTGGGCGCTCACCGGAAAGACAGACAGAGACAGAGAGATAGAAAGCGAGAAATCACCCCCCAGGGGAGATGGCCATGCCGCAATCCCTTCTCCTCCATTCTCCTCTCGGGATCTTGGGCACGCACACACACACGCGCCTGGCGTGAGTTTAAGCCACCGGGTCCTAGACTCGAACCACAGTCGACTACGTGGGAGTCCAGCGACATAGCTATTACGCTAACTGCTGGTCCCAACCCTGTTCTTCAAGTCCTAGTGAACTTGAATTCCAAATCAAGTCAAATAAAAACAGCCTTGTAAGTGGGGTATTCGAAGAACCACTAGACAGGTCAAATAATAATAATTTGTTGGGAATGAATTATTTGAATTATTAATTGGAAAGAACTCTAGTACTATTTTATCCCCTTCCATGATTGCGTACTGATAGTTTTGTGTGTTTGTATTTTTGCTTTTTTAAATATAATTATTTTATTTAACTTTATTTATTTTGACCAGAGAAGGATAGACCGAGTGAGCAAGTGAGTGAGAGAGAGACAGAAAGTGAGAAAGCAAGCCACCAGGTTCAGGGATCGAACTGCGGTTGTCTGTGTGGAAGTCCAGCACCCTTTACCACCACACCACCTGCCAGCCCTGCGTACTGATAGTTTCTTTTAATCTTTTAAAAAAAATTTTATTTAACTTAATTAATTAATTAAATTTTACCAGAGAGGGAAAGAATGAGAGAGAGGAAAGTGAGAAAGCAAGCTACTAGGTCCAGGACTTGAACCATGGTCGGCCATGTGGGAGTCCAGTTCCCGTAAGCACCATGCCGCCTGGCGGCGTCCCCCAAACCCCAGTACTGACAGTTTTAACCATAGTTACTGCCTATTGATTTTCACAGTTACCACAAAACTGAAAAAATAAAAATGAGAGTAGGTCAAATTGAAATGCCACAACGCTTACTATTTTTACTAACATTCAGCTATTTTTTTAAGAATTTATTTATTATTTTCCAGTTTGATTAGGGAGAGGGAGAGAAAGAGAGAGGCAGAGAAAGAGAGAGAGAGAGAAAGAGAGAGAGAGAGAAAGCAAGCCACTAGATCCAAGACTTGAACCACAGTTGACCATGTGGGAGTTTGGCACCTTTAACCATGTAACGTGCTGGCCCCATCAACCACTTTTTAAAAAATAATCATACCCCCCCCCAAAGAACCACTTTATTTACTTTTATCTATATATTTACTAACTTTAATTTGACCAGAGAGGGACAGAGCATGAGACAGAAAGTGAGAAAGCAAGCTGTCAAGTTCAGGACTCAAACCACGGTCAGCCATATAGGAGTCCAGCACCCCCAACCACCATGCCACCTACCAGTCCCTAATCATTTTTTGGGGGGGAGGAGAGGTTTTTTTTGCTATAGGGTACATGCACTCACCAGAAAGACAGAGAGAGACTGAGAGACAGAAAGCGAGAAATCACACCCGGGATGTGTGATGTATGGCTACGCTGCAATCCCTTCTCCTCCATTCTCCTCTCGGGATCTTGGGCATGCACACACACACACCCAGCGTGAGTTTAAACGACTGGCTCCAGGACTCGAGCCATGATTGACTACATAGGAGTTCAGTGACATAGCCATTATGTTAATTGCTGGTCCCCCTAAATAATAATTTTTTAAAATTTATTTTATTTTATTTTTTTTTTAAAGAAAGTGTTTTGCTATATAGGACATGTATAGTCACTGGAGACACAGAGAGAGAGAAAGTGAGAAATGACCCCCCAGGGGGGATGGCCATGCCACAGTCTCTTCTCCTCCATTCTTCTTGGTATTTTGGGCACCTATGCACACTCGCCTGGTGTGAGTTTCAAGTCACTGGGTTCAGGACTCAAACCACAGTTGGCCATGTGGGAGTTCAATGCCTTAACCACTAGACCACCTGCTGACCCCATGTTATTTTTTAATTGCTATAGGACATGCTCACTCACCAGACAGAGAGGGAGGGAGAGTGAGAAAATAAGGTGCCAGGTCCAGGACTCCAACTGCAGTTGGCCATGTGGGAATCCAGCACTCTAACCACTATGCCACCTGTTGGCCCCAATAATCTTTATTTATTTATTTATTTATTCCATGAGTGAGAGATAGACACAGCACCCCCAACAAGGTCCTGATGCCTAGGCTTCAGGTACCCAGAGCACTCAAGATCGTCTCTGGACTTGAACCAGGAATTACCTCGCAGAGAGTTGTTTTATTACTGTTCCACTGTTTGTTCCCTCAGCTATTTTTTTCTGAATAAATATTCCCCACATTGCTGCAAGCTCTTTGTTAATTTCTGGTGTTCTGAAAAAGTTGATTCTGATCATGCTTGCCACTTTCCTTATTGCTTTTTTTTTGGAGAGGTTTTTAAAGCTATAGGGCGTGTGCGTTCACCAGAAAGACAGAGAAAGACAGAGAGATAGAAAGCGAGAAATCACCCCCCAGGAGGAATGGCCATGCAGCAATCACTTTTCCTTCATTCTCCTCTCAGGATCTTGGGCATGCACGCACATGCACCCAGCATGAGTTTAAGCCACTGGGTCCGGGACTTGAACCGCGATGGGCTACATGGGAGTCCAGGGATATAGCCATTACACTAACTGCTGATCCCTCCTTATTGCCTTTATAGAGAATTTTTGGAAGTCTTTACTCTGCCATTTTTGCTGATGTCACTCCAAGCCAATTCAATGACCCTTTCCTCTAAATCAGTATTCTCCATCTGAGGGGAAGCCGAGGCATACTCACATCAGAGCACAATAAGGCTATGATGGATCATAGCCCACAGACTGATGGAGAACAAAGCACCTTTATGAGACTTCTGGGTGACTTGTGAGGTTTTTCATTGGCCATTAGCCCAGAAGCCTAACATATGTACTAAAAATTTGATTCCTACTTCCTTTGCCCATGCCTCCAATAACTGAATCTGTTCTCCAGTTCATGAATTTTCTCACTGTCTCATTTTTATGCTTTTCAGAAACCCCTTCACCAGCTTCAACTCACAGCCTGTCTTATAGGTGAGCAACAATATTCTTCCTTTCTTTTGGGACCTCTTCATACCAACACTCTGCCAGCAGCCCTGGGGTTACTTCTCTGGCCCATACCACTGGGATTTATAATTTGCCTCATAAACAAGAGAGAAAGTTAGCACCGTTTTTAATATACATCCAAATTATTTAATTTTATTCTCAGTTGCAAGCAGGGGATTTCTTTTCTTCTCTGGTCTAAATAGCTGAGGGGGGGAGTGTCTTTAAAAAGTTCATAGAAAATATGTAATATGGAAAAAATATGCACAAGCTTTTTTTTTTTTCACCAAAATGAACTCATACTTTAATTCCACTTTTCTGTGGACTTTAAAAAGTCTTCTCATACAGGCCCTTCCTTTACACAGGCTTTTAACCTTTACCTTTCATTTGCCCTCTGATAATTTTATTTCTCCTCCTTAGGCCTTCATCTGCCTCCTCTGGACAGGGGATTTTTTCTTTCAGACCAGCCCTAAATGGGGATTCAAGCCACACAAGACAGCACATGCCTAACAATTCTGGTAAGTTAAATAATGTCTCCAAAGGAGTAGAACTTCAACCATGGACTCACATACTAAAATGAAGACTTTTCAAGGTGACAGGAATTTGAGATTTACCCCTTCCCCCCCAGAACATTGTGTCTAGTTTGGTTTCTTAATATTCTGTAAGAGTCATCCCAGTTTACAGTGAAGGGAGGCTCTGGATTTTGCCTGAATAGCATTTATCCTGTCACCAGCTGAACACTACTATATTAGACAGAAGTTCGGCCTGCAGGATTAAATGGGATTTTGTTATAGTGGTTTCTTTTTTATTTTTTAAAAAATCCCTGTGTTGAACATATTGAGAGCTCAGTTCTAAGGATTATAAAGTGATATCCTTTCTTTTCTATTTTTCTTTTTTATGTAAGATACTTTTGCTGTCAAATGTCTCTTTTTAAATAATTTTTAATTTAATTTATTCATTTATTTTATTTATTTTTTTGAAAGATTTTTGCTATAGGTCACGTGCGCATGCCAGAATGACAGACAGACAGATAGAAAGCGAGAAATCATTCCCCAGGGGGGATGGCCACACCGCAATCCCTTCTCCTCCATTCTCCTCTCAGCATCTTGGGCACGCACGCACACGCGCCCGGCGTGAGTTTAAGCCAACGGGTCTGGAACTCGAATCACAGTTGACTACATGGGAGTCCACTGACATAGCCATTACACCATCTGCTGGTCCCTCATTCATTTATTTTAATTTGATATGAGAGAGAGGAAGTGAGAAAGCAAGCCACCAGGTCCAGGACTTGAACCATGGTCTGCCATGTAGGAGTGTCCAGTGCCTTATTCACCATGCAACCTACTGGTCCCACTGCCAGTTGTCTTAATAAGGGGTTGCATTTTCCATAGCTCATCTATATCTTTATATTGCCTCTATAGTTTTTCAATCAAGTTATACTCAAATCTTAAACCTCAGCACCGTGCCTTCACAAGAAAATAATGAACTTTATAAGTTATTTCTTTTTTTGGGGGGGAGAGATTTTTGCTATAGGGCGCGTGCGCTCACCAGACAGACAGAGACATAGAGACAGAAAGCAAGAAATCACCCCCCAGGGGGGATGGTCACGCAGCAGTCCCTTCTCCTCCAGTCTCCTCTCGGGATCTTGGGCACACACGCACACGTGCCCGGCATGAGTTCTAAGCCACTGGGTCCGGGACCCGAACCGCGGTCGACTACGTGGGAGTCCAGCGACATAGCCATTACGCTAACTGCTGGTTCCCATAAGTTATTTCTTAAATTGCTAATTTTTCCCTTCTTGGTTTTCCCTTTTGAGTAGTATTCATTAAAAACTACCTTGTTACCTTGACCCACAAATAAAACCACTGAGAGATTACCCACATAAGCTATCTTTCACCATTCCATTCTATCCTTCAGGTCAGAGGGAGAGTGGAACAGTATCTGAGAGTGTTCCTGGTTTTCAGCTACCAGTCCTGCAGGTAAGACCTGGCTAGTCCAATTTGTGCATAAAAACATAGTTAGGCCTGCTCAATAAATGCCTCATTCTGGCCATGCAGTTGAGTAGCAGAATGTAACGGAAGGAGAATGACATGAATTTTAACTGTGGTAACCATATGTATACACTTTTCCAAAATAGTCTCAATTTCAAAGACTCTATACTACTGTCAAATTAACTTTCTGGTTTGGGGTTTTTAAATTAAGTCATATGGTCACGAAAGGCTTTCAACTGAGAAGTCTTGACCAGAGTGACTAAGTATGGACACAATGACATTCCTACTAGTTCCACAATAAAGAATTTTCAATGGACTGTATTTTTTGGATGGTGATACAGTTTGAACCACATGTACTTCTCCATAGATAGCTAGACTAATGCTTCGTAAATTTATGGGACTATGATTCTGATCCAAGTAACAAAGGAAAGGGGCTTGGTAACGAGGAGACATTTGTAAGGAGCTCAGTTAACCCGAAAATCGTCTTGCCCTCTAAATTAACTTCTATAGATTAGGTTTTGAGAATATTTAGGCTCTTTCCACTCCAAGCTCCTAGCAGTCCCAGGGACAACTCATTCATACTAAGGTAGGTACATATTTTGCCCCCATATTTGAAATGACTTTTATTTTCATCAGTAAGAAATTAGGGTCTAACAGGCAATACTAGAGAAATAACATCGACCCCTAAATACTTACCAATAGCCAATTAACCTACAGATGAAAAAAGACTAGAGACCTATAAACCATCTATAAATGACTCCTAAACAGATCTTAATTGGGAAAAAAAAAAAAAAACCCTGTTTAAAAAAAAAGCCTACATGAGACAGTTGAAGAAAATTGAGTATCTATTGGACATTTGATATTAAAAACTGGTACTATTGGGGTTTCTTAAGGTATGATATTGTGGTTATAATGTTTAAAATAGCATTTATCTTGCGTAAGAACATACTAAAATATTTATGGGTGGGAAATTAAATGTCTGGATTTTGCTTTATAAAGTTTAGTAGAGGGGGAGGGTGGAAAAAGATTGGCCGTGAGTTATTTGTTGAAGTTGTGTTATGGGCACATAAGTTCATTATACTACTCTGCTTTTGTATTTTTTTGGAAAGTTCTATTAAAAAGTTGTGGGGTTTTTTGTTTGTTTTTTGGTTACTGAAGAAAGGGCCACCTCCCCAGAGGTATAACAGTTCTGCCTCCCTGGCAATCATCTCTGGGTATGGTAATCATATATTCCAGATTTTCCAGAACAGTTTGATTTTCAAATATTTGACCTTCCATCACTGTAAACCACTGAAATGTTCCAGAGAGTTTCATAATTAGCAACAAAGCCTTTGTATCAAATATTAGTTTGGAAAAGTTAGTTATCATGCAATGGAGAAAACTATGGGGAAAAAATAGTATTCATTCCCCTTCTCCCATCCCAATAAACTTCATACAATGGCTGCAGAGACCCTTACTTGCCTTTTTGTTGTTATGAACACCCATATCTGTCTTCCCATCCTCTGCTGCAGACTCTCTACCAACAACAGAGACAGATGGGATTAGCCAGGGGGAGAGAAACATGGACTACTTCCAGATAGACCACCTTCAAGGTCGGATCTATACATATTCCTGAAGGTCGGACTATACATCCAGTACACATCAGAAAATGGCCTTGGAAAATGTATCCCTCCTTTGTTGCTTGGTTGCACTCTGTACTTTATTCTATCTCGATTTTTATCTTATACACGCTATATTACTTCCCATAGTGGTCAAGTTTTATGTAAGCCTAGCTTTAGGAAGATATTAGTATTTCTCTCCCAGAAGACATATGTAGGTTCCCCTCATTTACAACTTAAAACAAGGTTATAAAAATAATTCTTGGCATCACGCTTGGGTGTGTGTGTGGTAATATACTCGTCAACTACATTTCATTTCTGGATTTCATTTTTCTGCTTTGGATATAGTGTCCCATTGTCAATGTTAAGCAGTAACTGTTCCATGTTCAAACTTTTTGTTTGTCTATTATTTCCTCTATGCCTAATGACTATTAAATATAGTACTGTTACCTTCCTTTCTGTCAAAGTGGCAGTTGGAGATACAGATTTTTTTCAGATTACTAAAGTATACAGATAATAAAGAGGATGCCCTCTTATTGCTGGTGCAACTCTATTGCTTTACAAGCCCTAGAATGGTGGACTGGGCAAAGAACACCACCACAGAGACCAGTCAAACATTTATTCTACTTTAGGCACTATGGAGTAGAAATGAGGAATTAAATGGGTGGGCTACTCATAGGCAGGCCTTAAGCAAAAATACTGTAAAAACATAAACACAGCAGACATCTGTCAGAAGTAAATTAGGTCTTGTGAATGACCTTGTATTTAAACTAGGATCCTACTATCCTTTTTGGTACTGAATTTATTTTTAAAGGCATTTCTAGATGTCTTTTTAAAAAAAATTATTCAACTTTATTTATTTATTTTAATTCTAAGTTTAATTTGACCAGAAAGGGACAGAGAGAGAGAGAAAGAGAGAGAGAGAGAGAGAGAGAAAGCCACCAGGTCTGGCACTCAAACTGGTCAGCCATGTGGGAGTCCAGTGCCCCTAACCACCACGTCACCTGCCAACCCCTATGTCTTCTCTTTTGAACAAGAGCCTGTGCTTTAACAGTTAGTTACTTCCCAGGCTGTTATATGTCTATCACTGCTGAAAACTCAGAAATTTTAATCATTACCACCTGATGGCTGGGAAAAACTATGCTTGGTGACAGATGCTGACTTTGTAAAGTTTTTGTCTTTCTTTTAACTTACAGAAAGTCTTGCACCATAAAAAAAAAATATACTAAATCATACTTTTAATGGATTTGGCTCCATTGATCTCTAAATCATGTAAGTGGCAAAGTGGAGGAGAGAGAGACAACTTTATTTTTGGCCTTTTTATTATTATTCTAGCAATTTGGGGGATTCCACTCTTTTATTTTTAGATGACTAACCTATTAATGTCTATTTTTAAAAATAATCTGATTCCAGCTGGTTAAAACCATTCTAAAATATCAACAATTAATTCAGTTAAAGACCATGGTCTCTCTATTTCCAAGACTTTATAAAAAGAAGAAAAAGTCTCTTTTCTAGACACAGCCAAAAGATAAAAAAATCAATCTTGTCTAGCTGGACAGGCAAGTCGTGTCAGGTTTGTAAAACCAAACACCAAACTCCAAACCTGCTTTCACTACCCTTTAACCAGAGGAAACCATTCCCTCTCTTCTATCCCTCTGTAACATAATTCTACTTTTTAAAAAGGGTATCTCAGGGACCAGCAGGTGGCATGGTGGTTAAGGCGCTGGACACTCCCACATGGCCGACCATGGTTTGAGTCCTGAACCTGGTAGCTTGCTTTCTCACGTCCCCTCTCTCTCCTGTGTGTCTCTGGTCAAAATTTAAAAAAAAAAAAAAAAAAAAAAAAAAAAGTAAATGAGTAAATAAAATAAAAAATAAATGATTCTTTTTTTTTAAAAAAGGATATCTCTAATTCCCACCTCCAATAAATATCCAGTCGAACTTACTCTCCACTCAGTCATTAAACCTTTTCACAAGCTCTATGGGGAAGATTTACCCTGAGACAAATAGTGAAAAACAGTGAACATAGTGAAGGGATTTTGGAAAGCGATCAAGAGGTACAAGGCAAAGTGGTCCCCATATCAGGAAACATTCTGCTACCTGTGTGAGTCAATAATTAAGCAGGTAAAACACAGAACGTCAGTTGTTATGAGGAAGTATTTGTGATGAGACTGGGATATACCAGCTCCTAGGTGTATTATGCATGGACTTGTGGTCAAAGAAAAAAGGGGTACAAGGCAGCCTTATATTCCAGGGAAAATGTTAGGATTGGGGATGCACTGGAATCATCAGTTGAGAGTTCTTTACTCTGGTCTGCTAATCCTCCTATAGATATGGGGCCAAGCTCTGGCCCTTCTGAGGTACACTAAGGGAGAACAGCAGATATGAGGACAGCAAGAGCCACTTCCTAGCTGTTAGTTTATCTAGGTCCTTAGCATTTTCTACCTGGAGGTTAGAGGCTTCGATTTCTGCCAATCCAATCCCAACTTTCTATGGTCATCCTCCCTGCTCCACCCTCACTACATTCCCATTGCCCACCCTAAAAAACACAAAGGTTTTTAGTTCTTTGCCACAAGGTAATTAGAAAAATGAAGTTTCTTTGTTTAAACAGTTACTAAGTGGTTCATCTTTTAGTAACAGACCGCCCCTCCTTTGGCCCCCCCATTCAGTCTTGTATGATCACATCATCATCTTCTTCTTCCTCCTCCTCCTCCTCCTCTTCTTCCTCATCTTCTGGCAGTTCCTCCTCCTCCTCTTCCTCTTCTTCATCTAGACAAACTACCACCTCAGCTGGCTCAGGTAATCGAGAATCAAACCAGTCCCGTACCTGCTGGGTGCTAAGCCTTGACGCCTGACTCAGCTGAAGTATGTCAGTTTCTCGTAGCTGTTGGTGGGCTGCCCAGTACCTCTCCAATGGTTGTATATCTGGTGGGGGTGGAGGGATTGGCAGAGGTGGTGTTTCAGCCCATTCATTCAAGGAGCGGGTTGATGGTGGCGGTGTGGGAATTCCTGGGTCTTGGAAACTAGGTGCACCAGGTACTGCGTTGTCCCGAAACCATTTTAGTTGCCCATGTTTCAAGGCATAGCGTGTGTCACCAAACCACTGAATGATCTCAGGCCGAGGTAAACCTGTAATCTGTTCTAATTTATGGTAATCCTCACGCCGTGCCCACTGACACTGTAAAAAAAAGGATTTTAGGATAGCCAGCTGCTCTTTGGTTTTGCGCTTGGTCTTTCGCTGGCGTTGCATGTCTGGGGAAAGGTATTCTGTAGGGCCAACCCTACCTGGTACTGAGTTATGCCGTAGTCCTTGGGGCCAGGCTGGCTCCAGATGTGGGGGTAGTGCCTGTTCACTTGGTGACAGTGACTGTGGGGTACAGCCCAGTGGTTGAAGAGGTTTAGAGGTGGCAGTAGCTCCATTAGCCAGTACCTGGAAAGAGGAAGAGGTAGAAGAGGAGGAAGGAGGCACACTAGATGCTGACTCTTCCTTACAACCACTGGTGAGTAATGAGGTTGGTGGGAGCTTGTCCCGAGCATGTGGCTGGTGGATAGCTGTAGAGTGGTTCCAAGACGCAGTACCTATGCCATGTGACTGGTCAGGACCCCTGCCTGCCTGATCCTTAGAAAAGTCACTGCTTTGACGATCCTGCCAAAAATCTGACTGGTGGGGGAATGCTCCACTGTCAGGTGCCATCAGGGGCTCCTTTGCTTTCTGACTCAGTGGCAGTGATGGCTTCTGAGAGGGCTCTTCGGGTTCTACCTTCAATCCTTTCTTCTGGGTAGGCTCACCAAGAGCCAAAGGACTTGTTCCAAGACCGACTTGTTCTGGAGGTGGCACTGGAGAAGGAGGCACCTCCTCTGGGGGCCGCCCTGCATGATGAGTAAAAGAGAGAAGGGATTTGAAATGGAGTTGGTCCCGATGGTAGACCACTCTGGCTCGGGTCTCTTCTATTTCTTCAGATGACCAGCTAATGCCACAGCGGAGGCGCTGGGCCATGAACCAGGTCTTGACTTTCTCCATCTGCAGCCCATAACGTAGGCAGAGAAGTGCAATGTCTGCTAGGCTGGGGTAGGGAAGGTAGCTGAAGGTTTGTAGCCTGGGCTGCTGTTTGTAGCAGGTGTTCATTGCTATCCAGCTCACTGGTCTGGGCTGCTTGAGTCCACACAAGCTGTAGCTCCTCAGAGATTGGAGGGAGGCAGATGAGCCCTGCCGGTGAACTATTAAGACTGCTCGTCTCTTTATTAGGAGGCATGGTGCTTTCTGATCTGTGCCCTTCAGAGATAGCTGTAATAAGAAGAGAAATGGCTTGATCACTGGGGTTCCTCTTTTGGCAAAGCACTCAGTTTCTACCAAACAAACGTGATAGCAAAACAACTCTATTGTTTCTGTGTCGTTTCGCATTGCTTTTAAAGTATTTCAATTTTTCATTTAGTTTTCATAACCTAGTGGGGCCAGTGGTAGTGTGGTGGTTACAGTGCTGGACTCTAACATGGTCAATGGCAGTTGGAGCCCCGGACCTGGCAGCTTGAAAGTCACACTGGTCAAGTGTGCGTGCTTGCCCAAAAGCCCAAGAGGAGAATGGAAAAGGGATTGTGGCATGGCAGTTCCCCCCTGTGTTTGGGGGGGTGAATTTCCACTTTGCCTTTCTCTGTCTCCTGCAAATGCACATGCCCTATGGCCCCCCCTCAAAACAAAACAAAACAAAACAAAAAACTAAGAGAAAAAAAGGGAAAATTCAACCTTTTTTTTTTTTTTTGATTTTGCTACAGGGCGCATGTGCTCGACAGACAGAAAGAGAGAGAGACAGAAAGCGAGAAATAATCACCCCCCGGGAGGATGGCCATGTTGCAATCCCTCCTCCTCCATTCTCCTCTTGGGATCTTGGGCATGCATGCACACGTGCCCCGCGTGAGTTTTAAGCCACTGGGTCCGGGATGTGAACCGCGGTCGACTACATGGGAGTCCAGCAACATAGCCATTACACCAACTGCTAGTCCCAGGAAAATTCAATCTTATATAGCCTTTCTCCTCTCAATTCAAACTCACTTATGGAAACTATCCCCACTCACTCACCCTTTAAATTCATGGAATAATAGTCACATATTGAAGACTCAAAAACACCGAAAGCAACAATGTCAGACTTGTTACTAACTCCTTAGCTCCTAACACTTCGTGATAACCTGTAGAGTGGGGATACACTGGGACTACAACCAGTGACTAAGTGGAAGGTCACGCTGTCCTCTGCCCAGCCCCCAGCCCTTTTTCTCATTCCCTTATTGGTGGTGGTATTGGAGGGAAAGGAATGATAGTACCTTTTAAGCTATAATCCCAAACCTGATCGCTTTGTTTTTTCCATCTCAGTATGATGAAAGGGCAAATGTCTGGGATAAATGGGGTTCACTTCTTCAAGGTTTGTGAAAGTGGCAAGGAGAATGTTTCCTCCCCGAGTTAGCCCCAGAACAGAGGTTATCCTCCATGTCTCTTCCAACTGTGCAGCCTCTCTCCAGGGAGCCCAGAGTTCCCTCAGACACTAAAAGGCCCCTTCCACACAGGGTGGAGGCCTCCTGCTCTTATCTTTTCAGTTCAGCTTTCCCCTCAAGGCCAGGTATACAGCTCATTATAAATTGTAACCAGTTCCACCCTTTTGGCTGGAACTGCCATCTTCCAGTAATTAACCAAAATGATGAACACAAAGGGAAAAAGAGGCACCCCATATATATTATCTCTAGGCCTTCTAGAAAACATGGAGTGGTTCTTTTGGCAACACATGGGAATCTACAAGAAAGGTGAAATTGTAGACATCAAGGGAATGGGTACTGTTCAAAAAGAAATGCCCCACAAATGTTATCATGACAAAACTGGAAGAGTCTATAATGTTACCCAGCATGCTGTTGACATGGTTGTAAACAAACCAAAGTTAGGGGCAAGATTCTTACCAAGAGAATTAGTATGCATATTGAGCATATTAAGCATCCTAAGAGCAGAGATAGCTTCCTAAAATGTGTGAAGGAAAATTATCAGAAAAAGAAGGAAGCCAAGGAGAATGGTACCTGGGTTCAACTGAAGAGCCAGCCTGCTCCACCCAGAGAAGCACACTTTGTAAGAACCAATGGAAAGGAGCCTGAGCTACTGGAACCTATTCCCTATGAATTCATGGCATGATGGTTGTTAAAAATAAGTTAATCTGTTGTCTATAAAAATGTTTTCCTTAACTGAGTAGAATTGTGTTCCCTCCCCAAAGTTAATTTTAATTGGGCTCTAATTCATTTTGTGATATCTTTATTCAAATTTAGTATTTTTTTTTCCTGAAAGATGTTAGGTGGCATATTATGCAACAAATAAAATTCAGTTGACTAGAAAAAAATTGTAACCAGTTCCTGCAAGCCACCCAGCAGCACCACTGTGACCCCCTGACTGGTTAATTCCTGAACCCAAAATATTCTGATGATAATCTAAACTTAGTTTCCAGTGTGGTATCAGAGACTCTTTAACACATATATTACCCTTTACTCTTAAGAGTATCCTATCTGTTTATATTATTAATACATAACTTAAGATCTTTTAAGGATAGGGCAAGATTTCTATGTAAATGCTACATGATAAACTGAGAAAATAAATCTCAAGTCTATCAAATTAGAGTAGTGTAGTAGGAATTTTATATGATTGGAAAAAATTCTGAATTGTAATGCATGTCAATTTCCCTTTAAATTTTTTAATAAAAAAAAATGTTTTTAAATAAGAGATTTTTCACAGGGTCTCACTCAATCCTCTTGCATGAGCCTCCCAGTTGGGACTACAGGAGCCCACCACAACCACCTCATTTTCACACAGGTCTTGTCATGTTGCACACCACCATGTCACCCTCCCCACACCACCCTTTAGGTTGGACTGAGAATAAAATCTAGGCCTCCCATGTGGGCCCAACCTGTGGACCACAGTATCTTAATAGCACGGCTTATAACTAGGCCTACTATTACTTTTTTTAAAAAAGAATTATTTTTCTTTCTTTATTATTATTATTTCACATGAGTTTTGCCAGAGAAAGACAGAGAGAGGGAAAGTGAGAAAGCAAGCCACCAGGTCCGGGACTCAAACTGTGGTTGGCCATGTGGGAATTCCAGCATCTTAACCACCATGCCAGCTGCTGGCCCGGTCCACTATTACTTTAAAAAAATCATCTCAGGGGGCACATGTGTGAGACATATGCACACGTAAGCATCTCCCAAAAACTCTGTCATGTTGCACTTTTTCCCTCCAATTCTCTATTCTGTCATGATCCTGGGCACACATGAACAAGGCAAGCATATTTTTCAAGCAGATTGGGCCATATAGAATCCAGCATCCTCATGTAATGCCTGCTTATGCTATGGGGACTGCCCCCATCATTCTTTTTTTTTTTTTTTCCTTTTTTGCCAAGGGGTACTCTCTCCATAATCACTAGAGAGAGCCAGAAAGAGATGGAGGGAGAGGGAGAAAGCGACCCTTAATGGGGCATGGTCAGGACCAGCAGATGGTGTAATGGGTCCATTGCTGGACTCCCACAGTGCTTTTAGTCCCAGACTTGGTGGCTTAAAAATCACGCTAGGGGGACCAGCAGTTAGCATAATGGCTATGTTGCTGGACTCCCATGTAGTTGACCACGATTCGAGTCCTGGACTTGGTGGCTTAAACTCACACCGGGCGCTTATGCATGTGTGCCGAAGATCTGGAGAGGAGAATGGAGGAGAAGGGATTATGGCATAGCCATCCTCCCTGAGGGGGTAATTTTTTGCTTTCTGTCTCTCTGTCTCTCTCTGCCTCTCTGGTGAGCGCACATGCCCTATAGCAAAAACCTCTCCAAAAAAAAAAAAAAAAAAAGTCACATTGGGAACCTGCGCATGCATGTCCAAAATTCTGAGCAGAGAATGGAAGAAAAGGAATTGTGGTGTGGCAATCCCCACTGGTGTGTGTGTGTGTATGTGTGTGTGTGTGTGTGAGAGATTTCTTGCTTTCTGTGTATCCAGTGAACATTCGCACCCTATAGCAAAAATCTCTCAAAACAAAACAAAATAAAATGGGGCATGTTTACTTCACAATCCTTCTTCCTCCATTTCTCCATGGGGCACGCATGCACAAGTACCCAGCATGCTTCTCAAGTGGCCAGGGCTGGGATTAATCAAACATTCAGTGATGTGGAATTCTGCTCTTTTAACCACTTGGCTATGGGGCTAACATCCACCATTCCTTTTTTTTTTTTTTTTTTAGAGAGAGATGTTTGTTATGGGGCATGAGCACTTGGCTGAAGAGAGAGACAGGGAGACCAAAAGTGAGAAATAATCCTCCAGCGGGGTGGCCACACTTCAATCCCTTCTCCTCCCGGGATCTTCGGCATGCACACATGCGCATGCATCTGGCATGAGTTTTAAGTCATCAGGTCCAGGACTCAAACTGCAGTTGACTACATGGGACATGGAATCCAGCAATGTAACCATTGTACCATCTGCTGGTCCTCTTCCCACCATTACCTCTTTATTTTGAGAGATTTTTGCTATAGAGTGCATGCGCTTGCTAGAAAGACAGAGAGACAGAGAGACAGCGAGAAATCACACCCCAGGGGGGATGGCCACTCCATAATCCCTTCTCCTCCATTCTCCTCTCAGGATCTTGGGCATGCACGCACACAAGCCCGGTGTGAGTTTAATACACTGGGTCGGGAACTCAAACCGCAGTTGACTACATGGGACTCCAGCGACAGCCATTACACCAACTGTTGGTCCCTCCCCATTACCTCTTGACAAGCAAATCTAACAAACTGAAGGCCATGGAGATCCTAAAAGCAATACAGCTTGAAGAATACCTTGAGGGTAAATAAATGGAGGCAGTATGGCATGGAGGGTAGAAATATGAATTATTGGTTAAGGCTAATCTGTGAGTTTTAATCCCAGTTCTGCCTCTCCCAGCTTTGTGAGCTTGGACAGAAGTTAGTGAACTTAAATGAACCAGTTTCTTCATGTGTAAAAAATGGTGACAGTGCTGTGTGTGTATAAAGACATTTCTCCCAAGGATCTGCCATGTACTAGGTGTTATGCATAGGCAGGGAATAAAGCAGCTGTTAGAGATGGCAGTCTGGGTGTGGATTTGAGATTAATTGCAGCTGTGCCATTTTCTAGACTACTGCTTATTCTTGGGCAAGTTTCTTTTTTTTTCTTTTTGGAGAGGTTTTTGCTGCATGCCAGAAAGAGACAGAAGACAGAAAGCGAGAAATCCCCCCCAGGGGGGATGGCCATGCTGCAATCCCTTCTCTT